CTATGTTAAAACCAAACATTCCCAATTGCCCTCAAAGATTCTTTAAGTCTTATGATACACTTAATAACAACAAAAATTTGCGCCTTACTAAAGCAGACAAAATAAATGCAATAGTAATTATGAAAGAAAATGATTACCAAGAAAAAATGAATAATCTCTTAGATGATACTGAAACCTATTCTAAACTTAAAAAGAATCCCTTAGAAACCTCTAACAGCAATTTCAATAAAACAAAACTTCTACTGAAAGGCAAAGATGAATTAATTAAACAATTTACTTCCACTAATCCATCTTTACCTTACATGTATGGACTAATAAAAACACACAAACCAGGTAATCCAGTCAGACCAATTATTAGCTCCATAGGGTCAGTTTCATATAAATTATCCAAATGGCTTGACATTTTGAGCCCTATTGTTGGTAAAATTTCTAACTTTAATGCTAAAATCAACTTAGATTTAGTTGATAAATTAAGCTCCTTGACTGACTTAAATGATCTTAACATGGTTAGTTTTGATGTTACTTCCTTGTTTAAGAAAGTTCCTGTTGATGATTTAAGTTTCTTATCTGAAGAACTCGTTAATTATGATTTACCATTACCAGTTCCTACCATCATTAAACTCATGAAACTTTGCATTGTTGATGCAAAATTTGTATTTAATGATAAGTTTTACAGTCAGAAATTTGGTATGGCAATGGGAAATTCTGTTTCACCTGTTCTTAATAATCTATACATGAATTTTTTTGAAACAAGGTTGCTTAACACAATCCTCCCTAATAGAGCAAAATGGTTCAGATATGTTGATGATATTTTGTGTCTTATGCCCAAGAATGTAGATATACACCAATTCCTTGGCAAATTAAATAGCTTAGCCCATTCTATAAACTTCACTGTTGAGTTTGAAGAAAATAACTCATTGCCTTTTCTAGATGTTTTAATTATTAAGGGTAATAATGAAATCAAATTTAAAATTTATAGAAAACCTGCAAATAACTGTTCCTATGTCCACTATTATTCTTCCCATCAAGATAAAGTTAAACTGTCTGTTTTCTCATCAATGTTTTTGAGAGCTTTACGTATTTGTAGTCTAGAGTTCATAGATGAAATATAAAAAAATTAAATTTATGAAACAGCCATTGATCTGAAATTCCCGATAAATGTTATTGATAAATCATTTAAAATTGCGAGAAATACTTTTTACAACCCAAAAAGGGACAACCAAACTTATTCAACTAAAAATATGTTGGTTCTCCCTTACCATGAAAACTTGGTTGATATGCCTTCTCTTCTTAAGACTTTTAATATCAAAGTTGTATTTAAAAATCTTGATACAGTAAAAAAAACTTTTGATAAAGAATTCCCCCCAAAATGCTGATGGATGTGTCTAAGATTCCTTATAAAATTTGCCATAAAGTTTATTACGGTCAAACTGGTAAAAATCTCGAACTAAGATTAAAACAACATAAATATAGCATTAGAACTGGACAAGATTCCAATGCTCTATTTATTCATGTGAGAGATTTTAACCATCTAATTGATTTTCAAAAAGTTGAGAAAGTAGTATCAAGCAAGTCCATGGTCGACAGGAATATAATTGATCTTGTTTCATAAAAAGCAGTTTTGACAATAATATGAATATTTCCTTTGGTTTATATAAATTAGATACATAAGAACATAAGAAAGGAGGATCACTGCAGCAGGCTTGTTGGCCCATACTAGGCAGGTCATTTACAATCCATTCCACTAACAAAACATTTGCCCAACCCAATTTTCAATGCTACCCAAGAAACAAGCTCCGATGTGCAAGTCCCTCTCAAATCCAACCCCTCCCACTCCTGTACTTATCCAACCTAAATTTGAAACTACCCAAAGTCCTAGCCTCAATAACCCAACTAGGTAGACTGTTCCACTCATCAACTACCCTATTGTTAAATTAGACACATGTGCAACTCTTGGGTATGTTTATTGACGAAACGTTTCGCCACACAGTGGCTTCATCAGTCCATACAAAGGATAAACTTGAAGAACAGGAGGGACTGATTACCTCATTCTCCTCCTGTTCTTCAAGTTTATCCTTTGTATGGACTGATGAAGCCACTGTGTGTCGAAACGTTTCCTCATTAAAGATACCCAAGAGTTGCACATGTGTCTAATTTAGCAACATGTCGGTTCTTTGAACCATTCATCTACAACTACCCTATTTCCAAACCAATATTTTCGTATGTCCTTTCTAAATCTAAACTTGTCTAATTTAAATCCATTACTGCGGGTTCTCTCTTGGAGAGACATCCTCAAGACCTTATTAATATCCCCTTTATTAATACCTATCTTCCACTTATACACTTCGATCATGTCTCCCCTCATTCTTCGTCTAACAAGTGAATGTAACTTAAGAGTCTTCAATCTTTCTTCATAAGGAAGATTTCTAATGCTATGAATTAATTAAGTCATTCTACGCTGAATGTTTTCTAACGAATTTATATCCACTCTGTAATATGGAGACCAGAACTTAGCTGCATAATCTAGGTGAGGCCTTACTAATGATGTATAAAGATGCAGTATGACCTCTGGACTTCTGTTGCTTACACTTCTTGATATAAATCCCAATAATCTATTTGCCTTATTACGTACGCTTAGGCACTGCTGTCTTGGTTTAAGGTTGCTGCTCACCGTAACCCCCAAGTCCTTTTCGCAATCTGTATTGCTAAGTTCTACATTATTTAACTTACAAGTCCTAGGGTTATGGACACTCCCGAGCTTCAGAACCTTGCATTTATCTATATTGAACTGAATCTGCCACTTTTCTGACCAAGAATAGTGTTTGTCTAAATCCTCCTGAAGTTCCCTAACATCTACGTTTGAATCAATTATCCTACCTATCTTTGTGTCATCGGCGAATTTGATCATATCACTAGTAATACCCTCATCAAGGTCATTGATATATATTATAAACAACAACGGGCCTAAGACTGATTCCTGTGGTACGCCACTTGTTACAGATCCCCACTCGGATTGAACCCCATTTAAGCATACTCTCTGCTTCCTATTAGTGAGCCATGACTCGATGCATGACAGAGCTTTTCCCCCAATATCATGAGCTGCCACTTTTTTTAAAAGTCTCTGGTGCGGTACTCTATCAAAAGCCTTACTAAAATTTAAATAAACAATATCGTATTCATCATGATCAACGGCCTCAAAAGCTTTTCTGAAGAAGGTTAATAAATTAGTTAGGTAGGAACGGCCCCTCGTGAATCCATGCTGAGTATCATTAATCAAGCTTATCCAGATGGCTTCTTATATTATCAGCTATAATTGACTCATTTAAAATTAATAAAATTTGGTTAGAATTTAATAATACATTGGACAAATAATAAACGTTGTTTCTTGGGCAGAATAATTAGTTAGTGGGGTGTCGTGAGGACCTGTCTAGTTAGACCAGCGGACCTACTGCAGTGTTCCTCTTTTCTTATGAGTCCGGTATTGTCGAGCGTCAGGTGTTTCTTTGTTGTGGGAGTTGACTGTGAGGTGTGGTCTAAGCCCTTTAATGGCCTTCCTTTGATGTATTACTTTCATAGTTCCTTGACAATGTGAGTAGTCGCGAAAGCGCTTGGAATTTCACTACTCTTTCACAGTGGTTGTTTTGCATATATATATATATTAATATATATATATATATATATATATATATATAATATATATATTAATATATATATATATATATATATATATATGGTTTAGAAAGACACGTAAGCAAACACTATGATATATTAGAAAACGTTTCGGTCCTGGGACCTTGATCACTTCTAACATACAGAGGTAGAAAAACATTATATATATAGGCGGAGAGTGAGGTGTGAGTCACGCATGGTGACCTGAGGAATGTCATGTTGTGATGAGGACGGGTAGATGATGAAATCATGTGACTCCTGTGTTGTTGGGTTGGTGGTGCTTAAGTATCATGTATGCCAATGTTTTTGAAATTTTGTAGTTTCCAGTGTTGCGTTCTATAGTGTCGGTGACGGCGATTGGTGAGGCTTCTAGGCACCGTCGGCGTCTGAGGTCTGGTTCGGTGAGAACGAGCTGTGACTCATTCCAGTTCATCAAATGCCCCGTGGAGTGTCTGTGGAGGACACAGGCGTACCTTACATCGTCTCTGTTAGAGGCATTTCGATGCTCATTCAGGCGGACTGCAAGATCTCTGCCTGTCTCGCCTACATATTTCTTGGGACAGAATCCACAGGGGATAGTGTAGACGCCTGCTGTAGAAGTTAGAGGTGTGGGGCTGCGTTTCACTACGTTTCACTGTCGGTATTTATTACCAAGGTTTATAATTAATATAATATATATATATATATATATATATATATATATATATATATATATATATATATATATATATATATATATATGGGTGGGTGTGGACACCATAAAAAATAAACACGATAAATAAAATATTGCTTAAAACTACATGAAAATTATTTACATCAAATCACAGAAAGGGTGTGACTTGAACCCATGGCGGGGAAGCTCTAAACTCACAGGTGTGTTTAACCGCTGGCCCATGCCTGCCTAAAAAAATTCAGTCAACAGTTATACTTCTATACCCTATAGGAATGCTAACATACGCCCCACATTCACCACAAATGCAATTTTTTTTCTGATAGATCCCACACCAGCCTGGTTCTTGAAGTCACTGTAGGCCTATGCTAACATTGTCACGGTATGTAGAAATATATGTAGGTGAATAAATTGTGTTAGGCTGGCATGGGCCACCGGTTAAATACACAAATTTGTTTGTTTTAGGAACCGCCTATTATGAGATCAAGTCCCACCCGTTCTGTGATATGTTTAATATCATGTTACTAATATTTAGTGTCATTTATTCACTATTTATTGTAGTATTTCATTGTTGTTATATTTTACTGTTGCTATATTGTATTCTTGTATTTTACTGTTGTATTTTACTGTTGCTGTATTATATTGTTCTTGTATTTTTCAGGCGGCCCTTCACCCCAGCCATTGGTAATGACTACAGCATCCACGTGTGAGCTGACATTCATTCCCCACGCTCACACAAGCCCATCACTAGGCTGATAGTAGCATTGTTCCAGAGTGACACTTATCCATTACCAGACTGACACAAGTCCATCATCATGCTGACAACAGCATTGTTCCAGACTGGCATATCTCCACCAGGCTGTCAGTAGCATTGCTCTGGAGTAGCATTTCTTCCTCACCAGGCTGGCACAAGCCTATCACCCGGACGACAGCACCATTGTTCCTGAGTGACAGTTCTCCATTACCACGCAACACAAGTCATCACCAAGCTGACAGTAGCATTGCTGCAGACTGTCACTTCACCTTCACCAGCCTGACTCAGCCCATCACTAGGCTAATACCAGCGCCATCACAGCCAAATAACAGGTCTAGTCCAGCTTTACAACTGCCCTTCACCATCCTAACCACAGACGTATACCTACCCATTACCAGCCTAATCACAGAATCACATTCACCTCTCACCACTCAGAGCATAAGTTCCAGATACTGACATGTCCACAGCACTGAACGCGTCCATTACCTACCTAACCCAGCATTACACCTGCCTTTCACCATTCTAATTTCAGCATTACACCCACCATCACAAGCCTGCCCACAGGCTTATGCCAACCATCACTAGACTTGCCTATGCCTTACACCCTCCTATCTCCATACTGACCACAATATTACTATACACACGGCACCCACCAGCCAAACCACAGTTATGAACACATTCATCACTCCGCTGACACGTTCATTAAGAACCGAACACACACCACATTGTTGACAAACGTTCTGAATACTTGTAAATATTTATGTTCTAATGAACAATAAAGACACATATCATGTTTTAAAATTATGTTTGTATTTTTATACCTTAAACAATTGCTGAGGTCAGTGGCCAGTACGCTGAGGTCAGTGGTCACGTGTGGTCATACCTGTCTAAGCTCTTGGGAGTTAGCGTGGGTTGTTACCAAGCACCATGGCTTGTTGTAGTGTTTTAGAATCTCAGGTTCAAGTGTTGAAGGAGGAGGTTCTAGTTCTTCAGGAGGAAAATAGGAGGCTGAAGCTTCGCATAGAAGGGTTTGGGAGTAAGTGTGAGATGGATTTAGCTGGTAAGGAGGAAATGGTCACCAGCAGTGAGAGTGGCAGCCACTTTAAGTGGCAAGTAGCTCACAGTTCAGGAAGAAGGAAGATAAGGAGAGTTAATAGAGAAATCAATTCTCTGTTCTAGGAAATCAATTCCCTGATCTCCAGGAAGAGTGTACTTCAGTGGTTAGGGAGGTTGAAGGTACCACTGATTTCCCTGCTAATCAAGGTAAGAATATTCTAATTGTAGGAGATTCTCAGGTAAGATATATGGACCATGCATTTTTGTAACAGAGAGAGGTAAGACAGAGAGTGTGCCTCCCAGGAGCTGGTGTTGGTGACATGGTCAGCAGGTTGGATATTATGTCAGGTAATGGGAACAAGCCCATTATCTGTCCTAGTGCTGGGGGTAATGACATTGGGAAAGGCAGGAGACAGGAGCTGCTGGATAAGTACAGGTCAGCCATAGATGTAGTCAGGTCTAAAGGAGGGATCCCAGTCATATGTGGCATCTTGCCTAGAAAGGGAGTGGGCAATGAATGGATGTCTAGGGCGACTGGTATAAATTGCTGGCTGGACAGGTACTTGCAATCCCATTCATTGATAAGTGGGACAACTTCTATGGCAAATGTGATATGTATGCAAGGGATGGGGTTCATCTCTCTGGGACTGGAGTGGTTGCATTAGCCAATTCGATTGAGGGGGGTAATTGATGACTTGTCTAGGACTTTAAACTGATACATTATAGAGGTATGGGTGTTTGTGGGAAACAATCAGGCTGCAGTAATAGGGTTGAAAATAGCCGATATTACCGGGATACCTCAGGGATATGTTTAAAAAACAATAGTAAAAATAAAGTTGCTAGTAAAGGCAAATCAATTGATCAACAAACAGAGACAGTAGAGGGCAACGAGTGACTAGCTTCCTTAAGGTTTACTATACAAATAGTAGGAGTCTAAGAAACAAGATAGATGAGCTAAGATTACTTGCAAGTGCAGGTAATATAGATGTTATCGTTATAACAGAAACCTGGTTCAACCTGATAGAGAAATGCCTTCTGAATGCAACATACAGGGTTATAAACTATTCCACACTGATAGGGCCAACAGGAAGGGTGGTGGAGAACGATGTATGTCAGAGATAATTTAAATTGTCTTCGACATGATATAAGATTAGAAACATCGGACATAGAATCTGTTTGGCTACAGTTTCTCGAGGGTCATGATAAATTAATTTTGGGTGTGATTTATAGGTCCCCAAACCTTGATAGGGAGTGCAGTAAGCTGTTATGGGACGAAATTCATAAGGCATCTAGATATGAAAATGTTATGTTAATGAGAGATTTTGACTTTAGATAAACTGATTGCAACAATACGACAGGAAATCTTAAGTCTAGTGACTTTCGTGACCCGGTTCAGAATTGCTTTTTAGAACAGTTTATGACAGAACCAACTAGAGGAAACAATCTGCTTGACTTGGTTCTTGCCAAAAATGATTCACTAATTAATAATCTTGAGGTTATTGATGAGCTTGGGGAAAGTGATCACAAATCACTTAGTTTCAATATCTCATGGAATTACCCAGATAATTGCAATCAAATCTCTGTCCCAGACTTTCGCATGGCCAATTTCGTGGTACTGAGAAATTACCTGAAATGGCTAAATTGGGATGACCTGACTATGGGTCAGGTTGGTGGTGTTGGTTGCCAATATGACGATTTTCAGAGCATAGTTCTAGCTGCCCAGACAACTTTTGTTCCGAGTAGGGAAATTAGATCTAAAAAAATGATTCCAAATGGATGAACAATAGATTAAAACATTTCATTGGTCAAAAGAGAGGCATATATAGGCGTATCAAAAGAGGGGATGGGCAGTTAAGAAATCAATATATTCAGTTAGAGAAATAAAAAAAGGAAAAAGAAAAACAAAAAGGGATTATGAGGCTAAAGTCGCAAGGGATTTAAAGACTAACCCAAAAGGGTTCTTTCAGGTATACTGAAATAAGATAGGAACAAGACTGGCCCACTTAAGAGTAACTCTGGTCAGATCACTGACAGTGATAAGGATGTGTGTGAAATTTTCAATACTTCCTATCAGTTTTTACCCAGGAAAACACTAGCGAAATTCCTGAAATAATAGATTATGTAGAACAGGACGATAAACTATGCACGACTGCTGTAACTAGTGACATGGTCCTCAGACATAGAGAAATTGAAAGCTAACAAATCCCCAGGTCCTGATGAATTGCTTGCTAGGGTGTTAAAGGAATGTAAAGAGGAACTTAGCATACCTTTGGCTAATCTTTTCAACATATCACTGCAAACTGTCATAGTGCCTGATATGTGGAAAATGGCAAATGTAATACCTATTTACAAGGCAGGTGACAGGTCCTTAGCATCGAACTATAGACCAATAAGCCTTACCTCCGTAGTGGAAAAATTTATGGAATCAAAAATTACCGAAGCAATTCGTAGCCATCTTGATTGGCATAAATAGATTAATGAATCTCAACACGGTTTTACAAAGGGGCGTTCCTGTCTTACGAATTTACTAATTTTTTTCCATTAAGGTGTTTGAGGAGGTAGATCATGGTAATGAATATGATACTGTGTATATGGACTTCAGTAAGGCTTTCGATAGAGTTAGACATCAGGGGCTGTTGAGGAAACTTAAGGCACACGGAATAGGAGGAGAAATATTTTCCTGGGTAGAGGCATGGCTGACAAATAGGCAGCAGAGAGTTTGCATAAATGGGGAGAAATCAGAATGGGGGCACGTCACAAGCAGTGTTCCGCAGGGGTCAGTGTTGGGCCCATTGTTGTTCACAATTTACATAAATGACATAGATGAGTGAATAAATAGTGACATAAGCAAATTTGCTGATGACACCAAAATAGGCCGGCCAATTCATTCTAATGAGGATACTAG